GCCAATCAAAATGCAGGATTTGCATTAGTCCACTAGTTGGGTGATACTAAATCAAAATATCCTTGTTCAAAAATGTGTGTACATAATCTTTGCTTTGGGTGATTGGAAATTCTGGATATTACTTTTAATTAGTGTCACAAACTGTAGAATGGCATTGACATTTTACAAAAATGGTTGGCTAAGGCTGACATTTCTTTTTTTTTTTTTGAAACAGTCGAAAATGAAAATTTCTGCGACTTGGAAGACAATCAGCTGGGCTGATCAAATACACAGTGACATGCAATAAACAATTCCAAACACAACAAAACAGAAATAATCTGAAGCATGTGCAACCACCTTTTAAGGTAAACAGAATCACTAGACTATACAAGTGTACTCATGATAAGTGTACTCACTGGCCTTCAGATCAAGACGTTGTGTTGTGTTCTTGGGCAAGACACTTTACTCTCAGAGTTCCCCTCTCCACCCAGGTGTATAAATGGGTACCGGCAAATTTAATGCTTAGGTGTAACCCTGTGATAAACTAGCATCCCGTCCAAGGACAAGTAGAAATACTCCTAGTCACTTTACATTGTATGCTACTGAAACAGGAGATTACTGCCTGCCTGATGGGCCACTTGGCTCTTATACAGACTTTGCCATACACGTTTTACCATAGATCTTACCTTTCTTTGCTCCTTACTGAACTCTCTCATTAGTTCAAGAACATTTGATGTCTCAGAGGCATTTTGATCACCCTAAAGTATAATGAGAGTGAGAAAAATTACAATATAGTAAGCTCTGGGTGTAACGAACAAATAAATCATAGAAAAACAAACAATTGAAACCATTTCTTACTTAAACTAAAACTTGATTTGTAGTGTTCTAACAAGTAAGGACTTAACAGTTCTATTCCCAAGATCCCCTTTTCCAGGACTCCAAACATTCCCATTCCCCCACAATTCAAAAAACAAAAACAAAAAATGATATCCTTTTGCTTGATATTATGAGAAAATATTTACACAGCTAAAAATGGTAAAGATGACATTATGTCAAAAATTTTTGGTGCGTTTTAGCTTTTTAACCATTGTTAAACATTTTAGCATTGTAAATATTTAGCCAAAAAAACAAAAACAAAAAATATCCATGCAGTGCCAAGTTTTACCAAAGTACTGTCCAGATAGCTTTCATTTGAATGGTCACACATTTCTCCACTAGGGTCTCATCCAGAAACCACAGCATTAACACCACCTTGTACAGCAAAGCGAAGAGCAGCTCAATAGCTCTTACTTGATGGTAACACACTGGGGTTTCATTGAAAAGTTTGAGTCACACTGCCACTCAGCTTGACTCAGGTAGTGGAAGGGTTACTCTGTAAGCTGCACACCAAGATAACAAACCTTCACAGCTGTATCTCTTGCAGTATCAGTGACTGGTGNCATCCCGTCCAAGGACAAGTAGAAATACTCCTAGTCACTTTACATTGTATGCTACTGAAACAGGAGATTAGTGCCAGCCTGATGGGCCACTTGGCTCTTATACAGACTTTGCCATACACGTTTTACCATAGATCAAGTACCTTTCTTTGCTCCTTACTGAACTCTCTCATTAATTCAAGAACATTTGATGTCTCAGAGGCATTTTGATCGCCCTAAAGTATAATAAGAGTGAAAAAAATTATAATATAGTAAGCTCTGGGTGTAACAAACAAATAAATCATAGAAAAACAAACAATTGAAACCATCTTCTTACTTAAGCTAAAACTTGATTGCAGTGTTCTAACAAGTAAGGACATTACACTTCTATTCCCAAGATCCCCTTTCCCAGGACTCCAAACATTCCCATTCCCCCACAATTCAAAAAACGAAAACAAAAAATGATATCCTTTTGCTTGATATTATGACAAAATATTTACACAGCTAAAAATGGTAAAGATGACATTATGTCAAAAATGTTTGGTGTTTTTACTTTTTTTTAACCATTTTTAACCATTTTTAGCGTTGTATATATTTAGCCAAAAAAAAAAAAATATCCATACAGTGCCAAGTTTTACCATGGTCACACATTTCTACACTAGGGTCTCATCCAGAGACCACAGCATTAGCACCACCTTGTACAGCAAAGCGTAGAGCAGCTCAATAGCTCTTACTTGATGGTAACACACTGGGGTTTCATTTAAAAGTTTGAGTCACACTGCCACTCAGCTTGACTCAGGTAGTGGAAGGGTTACTCTGTAAGCTGCACACCACTAAGAAAGTGCAAATTCAATAAAATAAAGTAACCAAATTGATGAAACCTACTGATCAGAGTAGCAAATTTGATTCAGAAAAGAAACAATAGGCACAAATGTCCTAAAATACATGTAAGTTACATACTAATACTATACACAACTAGTTTTTCAAGCATGTACATGTGCACAGGGCTGTGCACTAGAAGTGTCAAGGTGCCACAGGCAACTAACTTTTGCCTTTGGGCAACAAAAACTTCCTTTTTTCATATGAGCTACAGTGTTGTGCACCCAGGATTTCACGGTTTGGAGCCTCTGGGCTCCTCTTAATTCTTCTCAGACCACAGCCTTGAGTTCATGTCAAATCTTTCACCTTAAGTCAAATATGCAATATAGTACTGCAGGAGAGTGCTAACTTGGGAAAAGAAATTACATCTTGTCAGTCGTTCGCTAATTCAACAGCAGACGAGACCACCAGTCAAATGAATTTGCATGAATAAAATTATTGTGCAGTTTCTTAAAAGAAAATTTGGAATTAAACTGTACATAATTAAGTAAGCTATTTATGACAATAGATCTTACCAGACTCATGGCATGTTTCCCAGCAGGGATCAGAAAAATCCACTATACCCTTCTTAATTAATTCATAGAGCTTTTCTTCTGTTTCTGCTACAAATGGTGGCCTCCCAGTTAAACTGACAAGGAATAAACATCAACCAGTTAACAAAACACATTAAAATTTTCGCTATTGATAATAAAGGTAACAAGGATTGAAAACTGGACAACATTACAACAATGGCAACCTCAAGGGTAAAGAATTTTAATGCAACAAACCCTAAAGTGTGATTTTTCCTTAGGGTGCATTTCTTTAAGAAAATCCAAGATTGGATTCTTACATCTGGAAGAATCTGAAAACGATCAATCCAAGATCTCTCGGATCATGGTGCATCACCATGATCCGAAAGATCTTGGATTGATCTGTTCAGTAAAGAAACGCAAAATCCGTTTTTGGATTCTTTTGGATTTAAGAATCCAATCTTGGATTTTCTTAAAGAAACACACCCATAGTTAATGAATGTTATTAACTGACAAGAGATGTAAATACTCTGTATAGTACAAAGCATGACAAGAAGAGGATAAACAACTCCAACAGTTGCCATACAGGTCCCAATGGATTTGGATCCATGAACACTGCCTTAAAAGAGTGATGCAGCTCCATCAACTGAGCTTGAAGTTAAACATGAAGGTTCAGATGCCAGGACTTTATTCTGAGACTCAACTCAATTAAAAAGTTGTCACCAGCAGTTCTTATTGTTTTTTAACTTCTCCCAAGTGGAGATTTTAGAACATTACTTTTAGGGACTTAACAGGTTGTGGAAATTAGTCACACCTGCCTTGAAATGTTAACAATGAACCATACAGCACAAATCAACATTTTCCCCATGTGCACCAGAAATTTTTAAAGCACACTGGTTCCCCATCTAGCTGCTCTAGTTTCTTTCTTAAATTGAAAACAAATAACAGCAAGAGAATGAAAACTTACAGAGTAAACATTATTACACCTATACTCCAAATATCACATTGTTGACTATAACCAAGGTCATCTATAACTTCTGGAGCTGAAACACAAAGTTGGATGCATTCAATATTTCAAATGTTGTAAATGCGATTTTAAGATGACATATTTGCCGCATAATGTTGGCAATATATATCATATATATCAAGCAAAGAAAAAGCCCAAGGCATGTTGTCTCTTGTAAGCAAAACTATGGGCAGATCACGATACTAGCTAATGTCATTACCACTTGGTGAACAAGGCAAACTAGCCTGGGTGGGTTGTGACTGTATTCAATTGATATCCTTGACAACTGCGGATGGGAAACACTGGGATTTGGAGGTAGATAAGTGGGATACTTACTGAACATCATCCTTATGCTTTTTTCTCGTCATTTTTGGTGTAATTTCTTAGAGATGAATAGCAATTTCACATGTGATGTCAAACTGGAATTGTTTCAGGTTTCATGAAAACAAGATTGCATTTGACCCCCATGCATGTAAATTGTGAGGAATAAAGTATGTTGTTGTTGTTGTTCATTTAATGCAGCACTGCCAACTTTGCAAAAAAAAAAAAAACTCACCCATTTCAGAGTTACAAAAGTAGTCTAGCAGTAAACATGTTCATCACAATTAGTTCTCAAAAGATGATCAATGAACAAATGTAGTGCCTACCCATGTAAATTGGAGTACCACAAACAGATTGCATCATTGAGTCACTGCCAACACCGCCTTTCACAAATGACAGGCCAAAATCAGTTAGCTGCAAAANCCAAGGTCATCTATAACTTCTGGAGCTGAAACACAAAGTTGGATACATTAAATATTTCCAATGTTGTAAATGCGATTTTAAGATGACACATTTGCCGCATAATGTTGGCAGCTAGTTGGGAGAAAATATATTCTTGTATATCAAGCAAAGAAAACGCCCAAGGCATGTTGTCTCTTGTAAGCAAAACTATGGGCAGATCACGATACTAGCTAATGTCATTACCACTTGGTGAACAAGGCAAACTAGCCTGGGTGGGTTGTGACTGTATTCATTTGATATCCTTGACAACTGCAGATGGGAAACACTGGGATTTGGAGGTAGATAAGTGGGAGACTTACTTAACATCATCCTTATGCTTTTTTCTAGTCATTTTTGGTTTAATTTCTTAGAAATGTATAGCAATTTCACATGTTATGTCAACCTGAAATTGCTTCACGTTTCATGAAAACAAGATTGCATTTGAACCCCACACATGTAAATTGTGAGTAATTAAGTATGTTTTTGTTGTTGTTCATTTAATGCAGCACTGCCAACTTTGAAAAAAAAAAAAATGACCCATTTCAGAGTTACAAAAGTAGTCTAGCAGTAAACATGTTCATCACAATTAGTTCTCAAATGAGGGTCAATGAACAAATGTAGTGCCTACCCATGTAAATTGGAGTACCACAAACAGATTGCATCATTGAGTCACTGCCAACACCGCCTTTCACAAATGACAGGCCAAAATCAGTTAGCTGCAAAAAAATAAAGATAAAACAATTTTAATTCAAGTTAAGGTAGCAAAATCAAGAAGTCACATAAAGCAAGGTTGATATTAAACTGACACAACAAGTAGACTTGTGACACTAACTGCTACCTATCTTGGAAGCTCACAACATAACGTCCCCCTATAGCCTCCAAATTCAAAGCACATGCACGTCATGGAATATTCTGTCATCAATTGGCAACAAATTTCACTTAACAAGCATACCAAACATGCAAGCCCATATACATGTAATATAAATTTTATTAAACTGAAAAGGATTTAATTTTATGTCACAAGGTACATGGTCACATTCCTNACAAATGACAGGCCAAAATCAGTTAGCTGCAAAAAAATAAAGATAAAACAATTTTAATTCAAGTTAAGGTGGCAAAATCAAGAAGTCACATAAAGCAAGGTCGATATTAAACTGACACAAGTAGACTTGTGACACTAACTGCTACCTGTCTTGGAAGCTCACAACATAATGTCCCACTATAGCCTTCAAATTCAAAGCACATGCAAGTCACAGAATATTCTGTCATCAATTGGCAACAAATTTCACTTAACAAGCATACCAAATATGCAAGCCCATATACATGTAATATAAATTTTATTAAACTGAAAAGGATTTAATTTTATGTCACAAGGTACATGGTCACATTCCTAAATCGTACCTTAATATTGAGCAACTCATTTCCAACCGGTTGACTGAGAAGAATATTTTCCAATTTTAAATCTCTATGAACAATATCTGAAATACAATTCATAAAGACCTCTCATAAATACAACTGGTTTGATATAAATGATAGACCCACCTTTCTCTCATTCATTTACCTTTCATGCTCTGAATTTCACTTACTACTTTTCAAGAATCTTAAAGAAATGTTTCTACCTACCCAAAATTATAAAACTTGGAATGTGAAGATTGAAACAATTTAATAGCTAATTTCAATCCCCACATTCCATTTTTTCCTTTTTCACTTTCTGTAATCTTGCCTATTTCATTAGTTTTAGTTTTCGATGTATACATGTACTTGGCCACACTCTTTTTTTCAACTATCAGTCTCCTAAGGTTCCATTTACCTAGATTTTTCTATAGTACAGCTGTTTCAGAGACATTCTAACAAATTCCCTTGTATTCTCTTAAAGGCCTTGAAATCCAAGATATTTCTTTTTCTGCCTTAAATACAAATTCTTCTGACAAATTTTTGCAGCCCAAAAGACAAAAGCACAACTTAAACTATTTAATTCCTAAGACATCTGCCCATTTCATTTCAAAATATGCGCAAACTGGTATAGACAGGTGATAAAAATAAAAAAGCCATGGTACTACATACACTGATCATGGAGATAGGCAACAGCATGAGCCAGTTGTTTTATCACAGTCCACGTTTCCTGGTAAATTAAAAATATATTTTAATTTTATTTTATCTTGATAGCACTCTACTTAATATGCTATATCAAAACTCAGTTCAAAAGCAAGGCCTAGAGGACACAAACAATTGCATTTATGAACAAAATAATATGCTATGTTTTCTTCCAAAGAGACATTTTGGCAACAAAAACAGCTGCTAATTTTACATGGTTTGATTTTGATCTTAAAATGTATGTCAATAATCATCACTCAATAGTTAAACTGGAATGACTAATAAGTAAAACAGAAATACAGTAGCATTATTGCTGCTCCATCACTAACCCTGTACATGTAGATTGTTCAGTGACACACAGACAATACACACCTTTTCTGAAAACCTTGTCTTTCTTTCTAAAAGCTTTTGTATACCACCAGCATCACATAGTTCCATTACTAAATACATACGCTGCAAACATGAAGAAATGCATTACATATTAAATGGTTACCATAAAAACGCTTTGATGGTCATAATTACCAACCTTTGATGTTATAATTAGTTAACATAAGTCAATTGTAAATATGTAAATACCAATTTCTATTTTAATTTTTCGTTATCAAATATTTTGTTGCTCGGAAATATTAGCTGGTCAAGCTACTCTGAAATTCAAGCTTAAATAAAGTTTATGTATGTATGTATGTATGTATGTATGTATGTATGTATGTATGTATGTATGTATGTATGTATGTATGTATGTATGTATGTAT